GACTACGACACACATCATTACGCGTCCACATCAGTGCGAGACTGCGGCACACATGATTACGCGTCCACATCAGTGGGAGACTACGGCACACAGCATTACGCGTCCACATCAGTGGGAGACTACGACACACATCATAACGCGTTCACATCAGTGGGAGACTACGACACACATCATTACGCGTCCAGATCAGTGGGAGACTACGACACTCATCATTACGCGTTCACATCAGTGGGAGACTACGACACACATCATTACGCGTCCAGATCAGTGGGAGACTACGACACACATGATTACGCGTTCACATCAGTGGGAGACTACGACACACATAATTACGCGTCCACATCAGTGGGAGACTACGACACACATCAATACGCGTCCACATCAGTGGAAGACTGCGGCACACATAATTACGCGTCAACATCAGTGGGAGACTACGACACACATCATAACGCGTCCACATCAGTGGGAGACTACGATACACATAATTACGCGTTCACATCAGTGGGAGACTACGACACACATCATAACGCGTCCACATCAGTGGGAGACTACGACACACATAATTACGCGTTCACATCAGTGGGAGACTTTGGCACACATCATTACGCGTCCACATCAGTGAAAGACTACGGCACACAGCATTACGCGTTCACATTAGTGGGAGACTACGACACACATCATAACGCGTCCACATCAGTGGGAGACTACGGCACACATCAATACGCGTCCACATCAGTGGGAGACTACGACACACATCATTACGCGTTCACATCAGTGGGAGACTACGGCACACATTATTACACGTTCACATCAGTGGAAGACTGCGCAACACATCATAACGCGTCCAAATCAGTGGGAGACTACGACACACATCATTACGCGTCCACATCAGTGGGAGAGTACGTCACACATCATTACGCGTCCACATCAGTGGGAGACTACGACACACGTCATTACGCGTTCACATCAGTGGGAGACTACGACACACGTCATTACGCGTCCACATCAGTGGGAGACTACGACACACATCATTACGCGTCCACATCAGTGGGAGACTACGACACACATAATTAGGCGTTCACATCAGTGGGAGACTACGACACACATCATTACGCGTCCACATCAGTGGGAGACTACGACACACATAATTACCCGTTCACATCAGTGGGAGACTACGACACACATCATTACGCGTCCACATCAGTGGGAGACTACGACACACGTCATTACGCGTTCACATCAGTGGGAGACTACGACACACATCATTACGCGTCCACATCAGTGGGAGACTACGACACACATAATTACGCGTCCACATCAGTGGGAGACTACGACACACGTCATTACGCGTTCACATCAGTGGGAGACTACGGCACACATGATTACGCGTCCACATCAGTGGAAGACTACGACACACATCATTACGCGTCCACATCAGTGGGAGACTACGACACACATCATTACGCGTCCACATCAGTGGGAGACTACGGCACACATCATTACGCGTCCACATCAGTGGGAGACTACGACACACATCATTACGCGTTCACATCAGTAGGAGACTACGACACACATCATTACGCGTCCACATCAGTGGGAGACTGCGGCACACATGATTACGTGTTCACATCAGTGGGAGACTACGACACACATAATTACGCGTTCACATCAGTGGGAGACTTTGGCACACATCATTACGCGTTCACATCAGTGGGAGACTACGACACACATCAATACGCGTCCACATCAGTGGGAGACTACGACACATATCAATACGCGTCCACATCAGTGGAAGACTACGACACACATCATAACGCATCAACATCAATGGGAGACTACGACACACATCATTACGCGTTCACATCAGTGGGAGACTACGACACACATCATTACGCGTTCACATCAGTGGAAGACTACGACACACATCATTACGCGTTCACATCAGTGGGAGGCTGCGGCACAGATCATTACGCGTTCACATCAGTGGGAGACTACGACACACATCATTACGCGTTCACATCAGTGGGAGACTTTGGCACACATCATTACGCGTTCACATCAGTGGAAGACTACGACACACATCATAACGCGTCAACATCAGTGGGAGACTACGACACACATCATTACGCGTTCACATCAGTGGGAGACTGCGGCACAGATCATTACGCGTTCACATCAGTGGGAGACTACGACACACATAATTACGCGTTCACATCAGTGGGAGACTGCGGCACACATCATTACGCGTCCATATCATTTGGGGCCGTCGGGTAGCCTAGCGGTGAAAGCGTTCGCTCGTCACGCTGAAGATCCGGGTTCGATTTCCAATATGGGTACAATGTGTGAAGTCCATTTCTGGTGTCCCCCGCCGTGTTCCTGGCAGCAAACCCGGGCACTCTCCTAATATTAGTCAACAGATTGGGAGGTTCCAAACCTAAGGCACCGAGAACAATGGGGAGTCGGACAACTTGGTACTTGGGATGCAAGCGTGACATTTCGAAAGCGAGGTCCGCATATTTGCCATTTTTTCCCTCAATCTTGTCAATCACATTAGTGTCAAAGGGGACAGAAAATTCAATGATATAAATGATTTCATTGGATTTATCAAAAAGGACAAGATCAGGTTTGTTGGCCTGGATACGTCTAAGGCTGTAAATGGGCATATTCCAAAGACTTTTGTATTGATCTCTTTCCATGACGCCCTCTACATATTCTTGGTCGTACCATGGGTGGACCTCTGTGTCAAAACCACAAGCATGGCGAAGACGGTACTAAAATGATCGAGCTACACCATCATGTCGTTTAAGATACTGTGTTTGTGCCAAAGCTGGGCATCCATTGACAATGTGTTGGACAGTCTCATTCAATTCATTACATAATCTACATTTCATATTTACATTTTCATCACACATTGACGGTTTTGAGTTGGAAGAGACTGGTCCTGAGTAGGAAACAGATAGCCTTCTGTTTCACTTTTCAGGCCAGACGACTTCATTCAAGCGAAGTACTCTGATTGCTGATCTTCTCAACACACTGCACACAAACTCAGCGGTCGTTCAGATAGCCTCTCCTTGAAAACTGAGTCTGGGCCGATTTGCACTTCGCTTGATCGACACTCATTTCTGTACCGTCCAGCTGTACAGAACCATCAACAAAATCAACACCGACATTGAGATGATGTCCCACATCCTTGGCTCGTTTCAGAAAACTGTGGAATGCCTTGTTTTCATCCTGCATCTTGACATGCTTCACAAGAGGATCATCAAACAAATAAATGTGTGCAAACGTGCACAAAACAATTCTATCATGAAGAGCCCCAACGTTAACCAAACCACGTCCTCCCACAATGATTGGTAAATAAAAGCGATTGAGGGAAGGGCGATTGTCTGACATGATTCTTCGTGTGAGGGTGTCAATACTCTGAATCTCTTGTATCGTGCAATCAACACCTCCAAAAGAATATAAAAGGACGGGTACAGCATAAATATTTGTGGCTCTTATTTTTTGCGAGCGTTCAGCTCTGAAATCTAAATTTTCTTAAGTCTACTTTTGTACTCTGCCCGAAGAGTTTGCTTGATATGGGCATTCTGGAATTTGTCCCTAATCTTTATCCCTAAGTACGTATAGGTCTGACCTTCCACGAGATGGTCAATAACTCCTCCTCCAAGTAAACTGACTGACCCTCCCTCTTCTACCTTGCCACGTTTCAGATGAAGAATGTTGCATTTGTCGAGTCCAAAGGACATGCCGATATCATTAGAAAAGGACTCGACAAGGATAATCTGTTTTTTGAGTGTGGATCCTCTATTGGCAATAAGTTCAAGGTCATCCATGTATAGGAGGTGAGTAAGGGGTACACATCCATGACGATAATGTCCCCCGTGAATCAATCCCTCAAACAAACCCCTGACGACTATCTCACCCGTCAATCAGTCCCTCAAACACACCCAAGACGACTATCTCACCCGTCGATCAGTCCCTCAAACAAACCAAAGACAATTATCTCACCCGTCGATCAATCCCTCAAACACACCCAAGACAACTATCACACCCGTCGATCAATCCCTCAAACAAACCCATGACGATAATCTCACCCGTCGATCAATCCCTCAAACACACCCAAGACGACTATCTCACCCGTCGATCAGTCCCTCAAACACACCCAAGACAACTATCTCACCCGTCGATCAGTCCCTCAAACAAACCCATAAGGACCATTTCAGCCGTCAATTTCATGTCGGGTGTGTCAAGAGTGGGACTGACACATTACATCCACGTGGGTGCTCGAATACGCCACCACACTGCAACACAGAGTGAGTGAGTGAGTGACGTAGGTGCGGGGCATGTTAATGAGATCCGCGTCACGCTGTGTCACGCTGTCTTGTGTGTTGGTTTGACTGCACTTGGCTGACTGAGGTGACGGAAGTGACCGATAGAACAGTATCGTGACGGTATGTGAGTAAGAGGGGATCTCGGACAATAACAACCCAAGTCCACATACCATCCGCATTGTGTGTGCAGACACGTGATGGCCTACAATGCTACACGTTTAAGAGGGCGTTATGTATTTAACACCTTATTCTGTATAAATGCCTTTCGTAATACGATCAAGATAATCAGGTAGTATTTTTAAAACATAAACAATTGATGTCCTTAATTCTTTTATGAATATGCGATTTCCTGAGCATTCACACACACACACACCCACACACACACCCCTCCCCCCCCCCCCCCCCCCCCACACACACACACACCACGAACGAATTGTTGTAAATTTAAGAATTGGCTTTCAATTGTGTGTGTGAGTTTCATTGGAGTATGAACCTTCGTAGAGTGAGGGCCGACTTGTGAAAAACGTCGGAGCGTACGAACTTATATTGATATGATACCCCGAACAAAAAACGTCAGGGGCCAATAATATTTTTGGGTATATTTTGTGGAGATTACGATATTGCATAACAATATCCCCCCAAATATTCATGATCCCTAAAAGATTTTGTTCAGTACAGATGTAATGATGAGCGATCTTTATCATTGAAATGTGAGAACTTTTGTTGCTCCCACTTGCTGTCAGAGATATAACCGCAGCGCATTAAGTCACATAAATAGAACTGTTCGGAGGTTATATGATTGTCGAATGTTGTTAATGCAGATGTGGTGGTGTGATGGATGTCGTCGTCATGGATGGTAGTGTTAAGGATGTTGGTGTTAAGGGTGTTGGTGTTAAGGATGTTAGTGTTAAGGGTGTTATGGATGTTGGTGTTAAGGGTGTTGTTGTTATGGATGTTGGTGTTATGGATGTTGGCGTTAAGGATGTTGGTGTTAAAGATGTTGGTGTTAAGGATGTTGGTGTTAAGGATGTTGGTGTTATGGATGTTGGTGTTAAGGATGTTGGTGTTAAGGATGTTTGTGTTATGGATGTTGGTGTTAAGGGAGTTGTTGTTATTGATGTTGGTGTTATGGATGTTGGTGTTAAAGATGTTGGTGTTATGGATGGTAGTGTTAAGGATGTTGGTGTTCAGGGTGTTTGCGTTATGGGTGTTGGTGTTATGGGTGTTGGTGTTAAGGATGTTGGTGTTAAGGATGTTGGTGTTAAGGGTGTTGGTGTTAAGGATGTTGGTGTTAAGGGTGTTAGTGTTAAGGGTGTTGGTGTTAAGGATGTTGGTGTTAAGGATGTTGGTGTTAAGGGTGTTGGTGTTAAGGATGTTGGTGTTAAGGGTGTTGGTGTTAAGGATGTTGGTGTTAAGGATGTTGGTGTTAAGGATGTTGGTGTTAAGGATGTTGGTGTTAAGGATGTTGGTGTTCAGGGTGTTGTTGTTATTGATGTTGGTGTTATGGATGTTGATGTTATGGATGTTAATGTTATGGATGTTAATGTTATGGATGGTAGTGTTAAGGGTGTTGTTGTTATTGATGTTGGTGTTATGGATGTTAATGTTATGGATGTTAATGTTATGGATGGTAGTGTTAAGGATGTTGGTGTTCAGGGTGTTGGCGTTATGGGTGTTGGTGTTATGGGTGTTAGTGTTAAAGATGTTGGTGTTAAGGGTGGTGGTGTTATGGATGTTGGTGCTGCGGGTGTTGGTGTTAAGGGTGTTGGCGTTATGGGTGGTGGTGTTAAGGATGTTAGTGTTATGGATGTTGGTGTTAAAGATGTTGGTGTTAAGGATGTTGGTGTTCAGGGTGTTGGTGTTATGGATGTTGGTGTTAAGGATGTTGGTGTTATGGATGTTGGTGTTATGGATGTTAGTTATATGGATGTTGGTGCTGCGGGTGTTGGTGTTAAGGGTTTTGGCGTTATGGGTGTTGGTGTTAAGGATGTTGGTGTTATGGATGTTGGTGTTATGGATGTTAGTTATATGGATGTTGGTGCTGCGGGTGTTGGTGTTAAGGGTGTTGGCGTTATGGGTGTTGGTGTTAAGGATGTTGGTGTTATGGATGTTGGTGTTATGGATGTTAGTTATATGGATGTTGGTGCTGCGGGTGTTGGTGTTAAGGGTGTTGGCGTTATGGGTGTTGGTGTTAAAGATGTTGGTGTTAAGGGTGTTGGTGTTAAGGATGGTTGTGTTTAGGATGTTGGTGTTAAGGATGTTGGTGTTAAGGGTGTTGTTGTTATTGATGTTGGTGTTATGGATGTTGATGTTATGGATGTTAATGTTATGGATGTTAATGTTATGGATGGTAGTGTTAAGGGTGTTGTTGTTATTGATGTAGGTGTTATGGATGTTAATGTTATGGATGTTAATGTTATGGATGTTAATGTTATGGATGATAGTGTTAAGGATGTTGGTGTTATGGATGTTGGTGTTATGGATGTTAGTTATATGGATGTTGATGCTGCGGGTGTTGGTGTAAAGGGTGTTGGCGTTATGGGTGTTGGTGTTATGGGTGTTAGTGTTAAAGATGTTGGTGTTAAGGGTGGTGGTGTTATGGATGTTAGTGTTATTTATGTTAGTGTTATGGATGTTAATGTTATGGATGGTAGTGTTAAGGGTGTTGTTGTTATTGATGTTGGTGTTATGGATGTTAATGTTATGGATGTTAATGTTATGGATGGTAGTGTTAAGGATGTTGGTGTTCAGGGTGTTGGCGTTATGGGTGTTGGTGTTATGGGTGTTGGTGTTAAAGATGTTGGTGTTAAGGGTGGTGGTGTTATGGATGTTGGTGCTGCGGGTGTTGGTGTTAAGAGTGTTGGTGTTAAAGATGGTGGTGTTATGGGTGTTGGTGTTATGGGTGTTTGTGTTATGGGTGTTGGTGTTATGGGTGTTGGCGTTATGGGTGTTGGTGTTATGGGTGTTAGTGTTAAAGATGTTGGTGTTAAGGGTGGTGGTGTTATGGATGTTGGTGCTGCGGGTGTTGGTGTTAAGGGTGTTGGCTTTATGGGTGGTGGTGTTAAGGATGTTAGTGTTATGGATGTTGGTGTTAAAGATGTTGGTGTTAAGGATGTTGGTGTTCAGGGTGTTGGTGTTATGGATGTTGGTGTTAAGGATGTTGGTGTTATGGATGTTGGTGCTGCGGGTGTTGGTGTTAAGGGTGGTGGTGTTATGGATGTTGGTGCTGCGGGTGTTGGTGTTAAGGGTGTTGGCGTTATGGGTGGTGGTGTTAAGGATGTTAGTGTTATGGATGTTGGTGTTAAAGATGTTGGTGTTAAGGATGTTGGTGTTCAGGGTGTTGGTGTTATGGATGTTGGTGTTAAGGATGTTGGTGTTATGGATGTTGGTGTTATGGATGTTAGTTATATGGATGTTGGTGCTGCGGGTGTTGGTGTTAAGGGTGTTGGCGTTATGGGTGTTGGCGTTATGGGTGTTAGCGTTAAAGATGTTGGTTTTAAGGATGTTGGTGTTAAGGATGTTGGTGTTAAGGATGTTGGTGTTAAGAGTGTGGGTGTTAAAGGTGTTGGCGTTATGGGTGTTGGTGTTATGGGTGTTAGCGTTAAAGATGTTGGTTTTAAGGATGTTGGTGTTAAGGATGTTGGTGTTAAGGATGTTGGTGTTAAGAGTGTGGGTGTCAAGGGTGTTGGCGTTATGGGTGTTGGTGTTATGGATGTATGTGTTAAGGGTGTTGGTGATAAGGATGTTGGTGTTATGGGTGTAAGTGTTAAAGATGTTGGTGTTAAGGATGTTGGTGTTAAGGATGTTGGTGTTAAGAGTGTGGGTGTTAAGGGTGTTGGCGTTATGGGTGTTGGTGTTATGGATGTATGTGTTAAGGGTGTTGGTGATAAGGATGTTGGTGTTATGGGTGTAAGTGTTAAAGATGTTGGTGTTAAGGATGTTGGTGTTAAGGATGTTGGTGTTAAGAGTGTGGGTGTTAAGGGTGTTGGCGTTATGGGTGTTGGTGTCATGGGTGTTGGTGTTATGGGTGTTTGTGTTGTGGGTGTTTCTGAAACTGCTATTCCGTGTTAACGTTCACCGCCATCATGTATGAAGAAATGACTGTCGGGAATTGAACGATTAAAACCGATCTGATTTATTCATATTATGAATATTTATGAACATATTTATTTACACATGTTATTAACATTTTACATATTTTGTGATAAATGCTCTTCTGAAACAGCTCACTGCAGCACGAAGTAATATTCACTCACTCACAATATTCCTTTTTCCAAACGTGAGTACCTCACGTGCCAAACATTCGTCTGTCCATCAGCAGATTACAAATACAAAACACACATCAGCTGACTGCATGCTTCATTACACTGCATGGAGCTTGCGCACCTGGACGGAACGCATGTTACCTTTCCCTAAACCCGACATTGTACTGAGCTCTAGGCCCAGGAATGAACGCATATGTTACCTTTCCCTAAACCCGACATTGTACTGAGCTCGAGCCCCAGGAATGAACGCATGTTACCTTTCCCTAAACCCGACATTGTACTGAGCCCGAGCCCCAGGAATGAACGCATATGTTACCTTTCCCTAAACCCGACATTGTACTGAGCTCGAGGCCCAGGAATGAACGCATGTTACCTTTCCCTAAACCCGACATTGTACTGAGCTCGAGGCCCAGGAATGAACGCATATGTTACCTTTCCCTAAACCCGACATTGTACTGAGCTCGAGCCCCAGGAATGAACGCATGTTACCTTTCCCTAAACCCGACATTGTACTGAGCTCGAGGCCCAGGAATGAACGCATATGTTACCTTTCCCTAAACCCGACATTGTACTGAGCTCGAGGCCCAGGAATGAACGCATGTTACCTTTCCCTAAACCCGACATTGTACTGAGCTCGAGCCCCAGGAATGAACGCATGTTACCTTTCCCTAAACCCGACATTGTACTGAGCTCGAGGCCCAGGAATGAACGCATGTTACCTTTCCCTAAACCCGACATTGTACTGAGCCCGAGGCCCAGGAATGAACGCATGTTACCTTTCCCTAAACCCGACATTGTACTGAGCTCGAGGCCCAGGAATGAACGCATGTTACCTTTTCCTAAAACCGACATTGTACTGAGCTCGAGCCCCAGGAATGAACGCATGTTTACGTTCCCTAAAAGTAACACTATACAGAGCTCGCTCACTTGGCCTGAGTGCATGTTCCTTTACCTTGACACTGTGCGTTGGTCATTTATCTGGACTGATTGCACTCCTGTTTTTCCTAACATCGACACTGCAGGGAGCTGTATCCGACTCACGGAGGAAAAACTGCTTTCCACTTATTTGTCCGTTTAACGGAAAGCTGAACCTGATCTGTTTACAGTGAGCTCGCACTAATAATCACATTAATCAATGCATCCTATCTCCATTCTGTTATGATAAATAGGCTAGATCCATTCGCTACGATAGTTGCTTTCTGATAACTTTTAGTCTAGGCCCAGTGAACGCATTCCCCCACATCAACCGTGAAGATCCGGGGTAGACAAGGTCTTCAGCAACCCATGCTTGCCCTAAAAGGTGACAAAGCTTGTCGTAAGATGCGACGATCGGGTGGTCAGGCTCGCTGACTTGGTTGAAGTATGTCATTAAATCCCACTTGCGTGGATCGATGCTCATGATGCAATCACTTGATTGTCTGGTCCAGACTCCCTTATTTACAGACCGCCGTCATACAGCTGGAGTATTGCTGAGTGCGGCGTTGACAACAAACAAACAAACAGACCATACTCCCGTACATAACAACACGTTTGTGTTTAGTCACTTGATCCTGTGTTAACTTGCACCTTGTGGTTCCTGATGTGAAACAAACCCACAAGCAGCCTCTTGCACTCCCTCCTGAATCTGGTGTTGTAGAAGCCGTAAATGATGGGGTTGATGGCACTGTTAAGGAAGAAGGACCGGAGGAAGAGTTTATAAGCGGCTAACGCTGACTTGTTACAGTGAACCCTGGCCTCAAATCCCCCGTCCAGTCTGCGCGTCATCTGTAGCACCACGTGGGGGATGTAGGACACGATGAACGCTAAGGTCACCAGCAACATCATGATGGTTGTCTGCGACCTCTTCACGTGCTTCGCCTGCTTCCGCTCCAACGTCGTGAACGTCACCTCTCCGCCCAGACTGAGCTTGCTCGCGCTGATTGCCGTGGAACCTTTTTTCAAACCGGTGGCTGGTTTGTGCTTAGTGTCCTCTGTGAGGTCGAGACGAGAACCGAGGGTGCCGGAGTGAGATCCAAGCGCCCGTCCTCGACGTTTTTGTCTGATGATCTGGATAACGATGAGGGTGTAGAGGACGACGAGGATGCCGATCATGATGAAACACAAGACCCCCAAAAACACCTGGTACAACTGAGGATAGAACGTCCCCATGAACACATTGTCAAAGGAGCAATCTGTCGTCTCGTAACCTCCAATTACTTTTGTTTGGTTGCCGTAGAAAACCAAAGCTGGCCAAGAAATGAATAATGCGGATATTCCTACTCCAGCGAAAGCATGTCGAACCTCTTTCATAGTTATTTGCTTCTTGAAAGGAAGGCATATTTTCTTATAGCGATAGACGGCGATCACCAGCAGTGTCAACACCGACCCCGCGGAGGCCAGGGTGTTACTGAATCTCACTACTTTACATAACCAAGGGATATTGAGAAAATAGTCTGTTTTGAGATCAACAATTTCAAAGGGCACACCGATGAAACACACCTGCAGGTCAAACAACGCAAGTCCCAGAATAAAACTTTTGGATGGTCCGGACGGGAAGTTGAAGTTGTAGACAAAGCAGACGACGATGTTACCGGGGATGCCGCAGATGAGAAGAGACGCCAGGAAGATGAAGGTGGGGACCTTGTAGGGCAGCTCGGTGTTCTCTATTTCCTCTAGCCTCGTTTTCACCAGATCGAGGGACATGTTTTTCATGCTGAGCAGAGCTTCCTGTGTACAGGATCCCATCCTGTGAAGCAAAAGCGGAGTTGTCTTTGAACTGTAACCAAACAGTGACACTACGTTAATGACCCCACAATGACCCCACAATGACCCCATAATGACCCACGTAAAATTAGATACTGCACAACCCGTACTAACTTCAGCCTACCGCCACAAATCTACAAGAAATATGCTCTGTCATCCTTGTGACTGACATGATCACCAGTGACTGGTCGCTATGATTGACATGATCACCAGTGACTGGTCGCTATGATTGACATGATCACCAGTGACTGGTCCCTATGATTGACATGATCACCAGTGACTGGTCGCTATGATTGACATGATCACCAGTGACTGGTCGCTATGATTGACATGATCACCAGTGACTGGTCCCTATGATTGACATGATCACTACTGACTGGTCCCTATGATTGACATGATCACCACTGACTGGTCCCTATGATTGACATGATCACCAGTGACTGGTCGCTATGATTGACATGATCACCAGTGACTGGTCGCTATGATTGACATGATCACCAGTGACTGGTCCCTATGATTGACATGATCACTACTGACTGGTCCCTATGATTGACATGATCACCACTGACTGGTCCCTATGATTGACATGATCACCACTGACTGGTCCCTATGATTGACATGATCACCACTGACTGGTCCCTATGATTGACATGATCAACACTGACTGGTCCCTATGATTGACATGATCACTACTGACTGGTCGCTATGATTGACATGGTCACCACTGACTGGTCCCTATGATTGACATGATCACCACTGACTGGTCCCTATGATTGACATGATCAACACTGACTGGTCCCTATGATTGACATGATCACCACTGACTGGTCCCTATGATTGACATGATCACCACTGACTGGTCCCTATGATTGACATGATCACCACTGACTGGTCCCTATGATTGACATGATCACCACTGACTGGTCGCTATGATTGACATGATCACCACTGACTGGTCCCTATGATTGACATGATCACCACTGACTGGTCCCTATGATTGACATGATCACTACTGACTGGTCGCTATGATTGACATGATCACCACTGACTGGTCCCTATGATTGACATGATCACTACTGACTGGTCGCTATGATTGATATGATCACCGCTAACTGGTCTCTATGATTGACGTGATCATCACTGACTGGCCCCTATGATTGACGTGGTCAACACTAACTGGTCCTTATAATTGACGTTATCACCACTGACTGGTCCCTATGAATGACATGATCATAAATGACTGGTCCCTATGATTGACATGATCACTAGTGACTTGTTCCTATAATTGACATGATCATCACTGACTGGTCCCCATGATAGACATGATAAACCACCGACTGGTCCCTATGATTGACGTGGTCACCACAGACTGGTCCCAATGATTGACATGGTCAACACTGACTGGTCCTTATAATTGGCTTTATCACCACTGACTGCCCATATGATTGACATGATCAACACTGACTGGTCCCTATGATTGACATGATCAACACTGACTGGTCCCTATGATTGACGTGATCAACACTTACTGGTCCCTATAATTGACATGATCAACACAGACTGGTTCCTATGATTGATATGATCAACACTGACTGGTCCCTATGATTAACGTGATCAACACTGACTGGTCCCTATGATTGACGTGATCAACACTGACTGGTCCCTATGATTGACATGATCAACACTGAATGGTCCCTATGATTGACATGATCAACACTGACTGGTCCCTATGATTGACGTGATCAACACTGACTGGTCCCTATGATTGACGTGATCAACACTTACTGGTCCCTGTGATTGACATGATCAACACTGACTGGTCCCTATGATTGATATGATCAACACTGACTGGTCCCTATGATTGACGTGATCAACACTTACTGGTCCCTATGATTGATATGATCAACACTGACTGGTCCTTATGGTTGACGTGATCACCACTGACTAGTCCCTATGATTGACGTGATTGACGTCATGAAGTTGTTGAAAGCAGCGTTACTCCAATCTAAGTTAAAGGAATGCATTCCTTTAACGATGTAGTTTCGTGCTATTTAGGAATTTTAAGACTTAATAAAAATAATATCTCTGTTATAACTAGGAAGGCATTACGTTAAAAAACAAAGTCGTGTCTTTAAGTTATAGATCATTCTGTCGCAAACAAACAGAAGGTAATATATTTAAGTTATAGGTCATACTTTCATGAACAAACACAATATCGTGTCTTTAAGTTATAGGTCATTCTGTCGCATACAAACAGAAAGTCATATATTTAAGTTATAGGTCATTCTGTCGCATACAAACAGAAGGCCGTATATTTAAATTATAGGTTATACTTTCACGTGCAAACACATGGTCGCGTCTTTAAGTTATAGGTCATTCTGTCGCATACACACAGAAGGTCATATATTTAAGTTATAGGTCATACTTTCACGTACAAACACAAGGTCATGTCTTTGAGTTATAGGTCATACTGTCGCATACAAACGCAAGATCGTCTCAAAAGTCACTTCACAAAACATGATCGTATGTTTAACATTGACAATAGCTAAACAACAAATAGCTTAAAATGTAAATTGTCAACGCTTGTTGCATCGCGTATTATCAATAACCTCTGGACTGTTGAAGACTAATAAGTAGATACATCTTACCCATTAGCAGTGGCGTGATACTTGTGTACTCAGCCCAACTCGTTGAAGGAAGTGGCCCTGTGCCACACTCCACGTTAAATTACAATATACAATTATGGAAAATATGCAGCGAAACAGAGCCAGTACTTCACAGCTTACCTTCAGTGATAGATATTCCGAGGTCGAGTCAGCAGAATCCAAGGTAGGAATTCCGTTCGACACTTATTAACTTTTACAATATTTGAAATTTACTCTGCCTCATTTGTTGCTGTCGTAAGCCAGTGTAGTTCAATAGTGTAGCCCTCAACCAAGCCAGCACGGCCAGGCTATTGCATCACGGCCAGTCAGTGTTTGGCCATCATACGGGGTCGGGCTGTGAGGAAACGAAGGAGGAAGCTGGGAGGTGAGATGTGTCAGCCGCTGTTTGTTACAATCCATTAAAGGAATTTATACAGTGAGAGGTCATTTAAATCACGTTTAGAACTTAGTCTCTTCAAATACACGCGGACAAGCCCTTTATTGGGCACTGGCGTTGATAAGCCCTTTTCCGATTGTAGACGATTATAGCTCCGGTGGTTTCCCATGACGCTGGTGTGACGCTGGTGTGTGTATGTTTCGGTAACGATGTCAGGATGAAACAGCAATTACATGACATGATACTTAGAGATTTTATTTGCATCTCTTTGTTGTCGGCTTCTTTCGACCCAAAGTGCAATGAAGATGTGAAAAGGTTTATTTGGGTTTAATTTGTAATTATTTTCCATCCAACAAAACACACACATTTTAATCAATTTCATTCATTCAGTAGTGTAGGCCACAGGCCCAGGATACAATAGTAATACAGGTAGTCGGAGCCTCAGGGTGCCTGCTTGTTTCTATAACACATTACTTTACGTATGTACGCCGATAGGTGTTTGATGGTGTATTCGTTAGTGGTCGACATTTATACATTAAACTTGTGTCACATAATTCAGTTAATACACCCCATATTTCTGCCCCATAAAGTAAAAATACATGAAATGGTAACAGTTTAAGCATTGACAAACATTTACAAACACCATATATAATCTTCTTAGCTTGCAAGGAGACATCTCTTACATGTTTGGACCATGATAGAGACTTCGTTAACGTTTATCCTCAGTATTTATATGAAGGTACACACACAAGCAGCTGTCCGGCATACTTCCATTTCCTCATGCTTCGATAAAATTCATCCATTTTTTAAATCAATGACCTTGGTCTTGTCCAAATTAACACAAAAATGGTAATTATCACAGATTTTAAAGCAACGATGCGTCTTTGTGGCCAATACACTATCAGAAACAAGATAACATCGTTTGCAACATACACACGCCTACGCTCTATCACACACACACACACACACACACACACAAACACACACACACACACACACACACACACACATACATACATACATACATACATACATACATACATACATACATACATACATACATACATACATACATACATACATACATACATACATACATACATGCATACATAGGTACATATACACCCCCCCAGACTCACACATATACACATAAACACACACACATACACACACATGCACAAGCGCATACATACACACACACGCGCACACATGCACACCCCAGGCTCACTCACATAAACACACACACACACATACAAACGCGCACACACGCACACACGCACACACGCACGCACGCACGCACGCACGCACGCACGCGCGCATACATACACATGCACACGCCTACGCAAAAACACACGCACATGCATGAGCACACGACTATGAAATGGAAATTAAACAAGAAAACACACACCAAACATCTCAACAGACCAGGTGAATGTGTGTTGGCGTGAATGTGTGTTGGCGTGAATGTGTGTTGGCGTGAATGTGTGTTGGCGTGAATGTGTGTTGGCATGTATGTGGCCCGCAATCATCCCCAACACATCCCCCTGGATCCGTCGCATGGGAGCAGTCGATGGACAGTAGCCACCATTGACGTCCACACGGGGACGGATGACCATCACGCCGGCTGTCTGGATATAGACACGTTGGAGAATGACTGTGTTGGAGATAGCGGAAATATACACTTCTTCGTCAACAAGTCACCGTCAGAATGTGTGAGAACAGATAACATGGACTCATGTAATGCACACATCAAGATATTGAAAACACCGAATTTAATAATCAGTCTGACTCATGGACTGCATTCAAGACCCAAGCACACCAATGACACAAGCACACAGATGATCCAGGCACACACGTGACACAAGCACACACGTGACACAAGCACACAAATGATCCAGGCACAAACGTAACCCAGGCACACCCATGACGCAAGCACACAGACGATCCAGGCACACACGTGACCCAGGCACACCCATGACACAAGCACACCAATGATCCAGGCACACACGTGAAACAGGCACACAGATGATCCAAGCACACACGTGACCCAGACACACACGACACAGGCATACACATGACCCAGGCACATACATGACACATGCACCCACACGAATCAGGCACACACATGGCACAGACACACACATGACCCAAACTCACACATAACCCAGACACACACATGCCCGGGACCAAGGCATATGCATGACAGGCACACACATGACCAAGGTTCACACATGAATCAGGCACACACATGACACAGACACACACATGGCAAGGGCACACACACATGACACAGACAACAACACGAATCAGGCACACACATGACCCAGGTACACAGGTGACCCTTACACACACAAGACCGAGGCACACCCATGGCACAGGCACACACATGCAACAGGCACACACATGACACAGACACACATATGACACAGGTACACACATGACACAGACACACACATGACCCAGGCATACAAATGACACAGGCACACACATGACACAGGTACACACATGACACAGACACACATATGACACAGGCACACACATGACACAGACAAACACATAACCCAGGCACACACATGGCACAGGAACACACATATGACACAAAAACACATATGACCCAGGCACATAGATGACACAGACACATACATGAATCAGGCACACACATAACCCAGGCACACACATGGCACAGGAACACACATATGACACAAAAACACATATGACCCAGGCACATAGATGACACAGACACACCCATGAAATAGGCCCACACATGAATCAGGCACACATATGACTCACATGACCCAGGCACATACATGACACAGGCACACAGATGATCCAGACGCACACATGAATCAGGCACACGCATGGCACAGACACAGACATGAATCAGGCACACAGATGACACAGGCACACACATTACCAAGATTCACACATGAATCAGGCAACGACACACATATGACACAGGCACACACATGACACACACATGACTCGGGGACACAGATGACCCAGGCACATACATGACACAGTCATACACATGACCCAGGCATACACATGACCCAGGCACACACATGACACAGGCACACACATGACACAGGCACACACATGACCCAGGCACACACATGACACAGGCACACACATGACACACACATGACTCGGGGACACAGATGACCCAGGCACATACATGACACAGGCACACACATGACCCAGGCATACACATGACACAGGCACAAACATGACACAGGCACACACATGACTCAAGTACACACACATGCCACAGGCACACACATGACACAAGGACATACATGACGCATACACACATGACACAGGTACACACATGACACAGACACATGTCACAGGTGCACACATGACACAGGCACACACATGACCCATGCACACACATGACCCAGGCACACACATGACTCAAGTACACACACATGCCACAGGCACACACATGTCACAAGGACATACATGACGCATACACACATGACACTGGTACACACATGACACACACACATGGACACACACATGGACAGGTGCACACATGGACCAGGTACACACATGGACCAGGCACACACATGGACCAGGTACACTCATGCCACACACACATGCCACAGGCACACACATGTCACAAGGACATACATGACGCATACACACATGACACAGGTACACACATGCCACAGGCACACACATGTCACAAGGACATACATGACGCATACACACATGACACAGGTACACACATGACACACACACATGGACAGGTACACACATGGACCAGGCACACACATGTCACAGGTACACACATGGACCAGGCACACACATGGACCAGGTACACTCATGCCACACACACATGTCACAGGTACACACATGTCACAGGTACACACATGGACCAGGCACACACATGGACCAGGTACACTCATGCCACACACACATGTCACAGGTACACACATGTCACAGGTACACACATGGACCAGGCACACACATGGACCAGGTACACTCATGCCACACACACATGTCACAGGTACACACATGGCCCAGGCACTCACATGACACAGACACACATGGCCCAGGCACACACATGACACAGACACACATGGCCCAGGCACACACATGACACAGACACACAAATGACCCAGGTACACACACATGGCCCAGGCACACACATGACAAAGCCACACATGGACCAGGCAGACTGATGATCCAAGTTTATACATTGCCCAAGCATACAAAGAAGCATACAAAGAAGACGAAATATCTGTAAGCACACAATTAAGCCTGCAGTATCAGCTATGCACATAGGAGTGTGCACAACCATAAAACAGGCATCTGTCGAGTTTAAAACAGTGGTGGGACACTTGAAACATTATATGACTAAACAATACAGAATACAGTTTGTAACAGTTGCCTTCGCTGACTGTCTCACTGGGATCAAGGGGCTAAACGTTCATAAAGAAGCATCTGTAAAAAGAAAATATTTCATGATTAACAAGTTCACGTCCTGGTACGAGCTGCTGCCACAAGCGGTCATAAAATATATTTGCAATGAAAGCGCTCGCGGGTGTGTTATCTGTGTTATCCATAACCTTTCGAATGCAACGACTTAAATACAAATCCACTGAACAAATAGTATTCCGTTCTAGACATAGGTCAAAAGAGACGAAAGCGTCTGAATATACCGATTCCGTTTGATAGTGAAAACAATCTTACCTTCAACGTTACGCATTGAGAACTAGTACCCAATAGCTAGGCGCCTCTCGGAAGTATTCGAATAGCCACTGACAAATATAATTATAAACCATTCAGAAGGCTAAGATTTCCGCAGTAGGCGTTCGAGATGGTGTCAGTTGAAACTGAAGGCGCATGTCACGCTCACAGGGGAGACTACCCTCTGCACCTCTTACCACCACGGGAATCCTGGGCCAGTGAGGAGATGAATCACAAGTCGTGAGAAATCTCTATCCAAAACTGGATGCTGTAACACAGGGCCGAAATAACGGACACCTGACCCAGGGGGTGGC